GCATCTAAGCTTTCTGCTCGCGGTGTATCAATAGTGTCACGTCATCATTGCTGATAGGAGGAATTCTTTATATCGACACATGCGCCATGAGTAGAACTGCATGGCTCTCATGACAAGTGGAATACTTAAGATAACGACAGAATGGAATATTTCCGAATTCATTATTCCTTCATGACAACATTCGGTTCCTCGCGAACTTCCCAGTTTGCACTCATGTGTCTCAATGAATTGCTCTGTAACACTCGAAGTATCACAAAATGCGATAACATCCAACCACGCGTACCATCAGACTATGTTATAAATGTGGCAGTAAAATTGTGCATCAAGTTCGAGTTAACCGTTCAGCAATACCCACACCCCAAAACCCATATGGGATGGATCATCGAAGTCGAGTACATGACTGTACTGACTACACCTCCATTAGGGTGGGGTATACATCTCCTCATCACGGTTTAGGGTTTTGTCAAGAGTACTTTTGTGAACGGAAGGAAATCACTACATAAGTGATCCTGTTCGAGTACAGTCGACGAGTACAGTAGGCTCGGGAACACCCCCTCGTTGGCGTGATCTGTAGAAGAAGCGGTATGAAAGTTCCGACACAAAGAGCTGTCCCCGACGAAGACTCCCGGCTGGTAGTACGCAGCTTGTATAAACCTTATTGCCTGTGAGTCGCTTGTAAAGCTAAGTTTCGTGACGGCTCATTGTGCAGCAGTTGTCGATAACAGGCTCTGTTGAACAGAGGATGAGCACTATTAGTCACTCAAACTATAAGTGTTGTACTTCTGTAAACATGGCTCACCTCTTGCCAATCTCATTACTACCCTGGCTACGGCCCTGTCAGACTTATATCTACAGCGTATCGTTCCTAATGTGATCGACCAAGCATTAACACAAGAACTGTAGGTATCATTCCAAACATCAAAGTGCCATGTATCAAGTATTAGCATGTGAGCCGTTAGTCATACAAGTATCTTTCCTCCGTAATAGCTCATAAATACCACGTCCCTCCTTGAAGATATCAGCTACATGAGGGATAATGTGACGTCTGAAGAGATGCACCATCGAGTCTATTAGCACGATGCCCTACCCATTGGCAAACGCCAAAAGCACCGCAGCAGTATCTCGACGATCACGATTGTCCGCTCGGCAAGATAGCTGATAATATGATTCCAACAACTCGGTTGCCTTTACCTAACGAGTAAGACACTACTCACGATAGCACCTTCGAGTGGGAGGAAGCGTAATTTCACCTTGTCCTCTTTGTAGGAGAGTACAGCGAGATTGAGGCACGCGTCAGCAGCAGTGGTGATTTCCCCAGCATCCTCGGCAACTACTCTAAGCTGCTCCAGCTGATTGATGGCAGCATCCCTGAGGACATACAACTGACACCTGTAACGTTAATGATAATCTATTCACTCATCTCCCAAGCGCTGATATATGGTAGACAGCATTGCCCGAGCTGCTGCCTGCCCTTTACGATCATCCAACCGCTGGGAAATATCGAGATACCGTTGATGGAGAGTCCGTGCTTCCTCCAAGTTTCCAGAGTCTAGCCTAAACCAGAACTCCGCTGTCTACACAATGCATTGATGGCTGCTCACCTGGCTGCCCCTAGTTTATAACTCGCAATGCCTTCAACCGCTTCGTCCAGGCTCAACTTTGCACATTCGAGAGCTCTTTCATAGCATGTTATAGCTGACCATTCACGGCCAGCTACAACCAGAGCAACCTTGCAATACTCATCGTCTGAACGACGCGTTCAGAGCCGAGAGACAGCAGCGAGATATACTTTGTGGGTGGCCAGCCTCCTCTACACAAAGCGCTAGGAGATCGGAATCAACTGCCAAACGCCTGCATCGACAGGCATCGGCCCCTGTAGACACTACAACAACTCACATATACAGCTTTGCGAGATCTTTAGCGATGACAGGACCGAGACTTGATCCTTCGCTGGTGTCGGTGGTGAGAGCTAGGGCTCTCTCCAATGTCACTATACCCTGTTGTAAGTCCGACACCTTGGATTTTGCCATACCTGATCGGTCGCGGCAATCGTGAATTGATACGAATCGAGAAAGTACCCATCTTATAGTAGGCTTGAGCGGCAAGAGCTGGAGCGTCCGCTAAGGTGATTGATCGACAGTAGAGGTATAACCCTGCAGCTACATCACCGCCGTTGTGGAGGTAACTTTGAAGATAATAACCATCGACAGGCTAGCGGTGAGGAGAGTTGTACTCCGCAATCTCTATGTAATGTTGTGCAGCCTCGTGATGTCTTTCATCCTTGACTAGGTCCTCGGCAGTGGTCAGTAAGGACCTCACTGTGACCATATTGATGGACTCCTCTTGGGAGGTCGGCGATCTGATTGCCGATGCTGTTGCAATAGATGGCAGCCGCAACTACCCGCATCTAGCGTCCTTATTGTGATGTTGTACGATGTTGATGAAGTCAATGAATGACCTGCAGATGGAGCTGATGATGAACTTATGGTGTGGTATGCTACTGAGGGTGACCACCGAGTAGCAGTTCGAGAGAGTTCTCTTCCATAAAGGGACTCTGATGGACCGTGGGTGCTTCGACACAAGTGTCCTGAAAGTCGCTTAGATCAGAGCTCAGTAGAGATCTCAATGACCTCAGCCGTCGGTGAACTCTTCCCGTTGTCCCTTTCCTTAGTGGCCATTTAAAAAGCTCAAGATAGCAAACACATCCAGAGATGCGCTGTTCATTGCGCGCGGCAATTTGATCTATCCTGTATTAGCGGTAACACAAAGCTGCTCGAGCTTGTCTATTCATCTGCATATGAGGGTTCGAGTGGCGGGTGATAGAGTAAGGTAACTCCAGCCGGAGGGGGTCCTTGGTGTTTCGTACACACCATGGATCACTAGAGATGATCCGACTTGAGTTAAGGAGTTAATGTTAATTGATCCTCTTTATTCAGCCCCTTGGCAGTTTCGCATGAGTGTTTTCTTTTCTTTTTATGCGTCTCATGTAGACCAGGGAATGCCCATCAACAACGATGTTCTGCCATCTCTTATTTCAACTTGATCCTATCAGATACAACCTATTGAATGATGTTATGGATTTTGCTTCAAATCGATCGTCTGGGCGTACGCTTTTAGTTTTTGTGCAGTTTTCGTGCATTTTTTGATGTTGCAACTACTACATAGACGATAGGAACGGTTAGAGCAACATCTGCTCGGTCATAAACTCGACGATTCTATTTAACATCAGTATGAGCAGTACTACACCCGGGCAACGTCAATCTTATCAGCAGCAACAACAACAGTTGGGGTCATCAGAGCGGGAGGAGGGTTCGTCAAATGATGGAGGAATCCACGTCAAGAGGGAGAGTCACGAGAGTGACGTTAGAGGGCGACGAGTTGCCTCTGGTAATTGGGGTATATGTCGCACTATGGGTTAAGGCTCATTGGTGTAGCCTAGTAGGATCTGTCGCGGTGTTGGTTGGTTTAGTTGAGCCGCGTCACACATGATGTAGCATTCTTGTACATGCAAATGGAATATTAGAAAAACCCCCTTGTGGACGATTGAATAGACTCATGTCCTGTATTTCCTTCGTTGTATAGCGTGTTGCACTGTTGATAAATTCGCACCGTCCATCACGAATGTTAATGATGGTTTAGCAGGCGATAGAGGATCGGCTGCCCAAGCTCCGACCGAAAGAGGCCATCGACGTCGGGCCGAGTTACCAGAGACTATCAGGACTTTCCTCAATCGGCCTGATGAGGTTGCAAGGGATGATGTTAGGTGATAATACTCTGGCTGGAAATTGTATCATAAGTTACTTTCAGAACGATCATCAATAATTTTGAGAAGACCCAACTGGTAGAGCTCCTTGCCCATGCTTCCACTCTAAGCAAGGAAGTGCGGGATGCCTTAAGGGCAGTGGTAGGGAGTAATGCGACCTTCAGAAGGCTACTGGTCCGGAATATAAGGTTATAACTTGGGATGAGGGAGAGGTGCCTACACGCCCTCCCGTATGTTAGTTTTCAAAGCTCGAGTGATACTGTCAAAAATGCCCTGGGTAAATTTGGTATAATTGAGGAGGTAGTACGACACATAAGATCGACATGAGATATTATCATTATTGTCGTCGTCGTCGTAGGGTACGGTCGTATATGATCGACATACTGGGAGGAGTAAGGGTTTTGCATTTGTTACATTTGAACGAGTTGAAAGTGCATGTGAGGCAGTTAGCTGTTCTAACCAAGGAAAAGTAGGGTTAGAGACCTATTACTTGGGTGTATTCTCATCATATCATAGATTTATCTCGATGGTCGGCAATTAATCCTCAAGTTTGCTGCTGATAAGATCGATCATGACCAACAGATGGGAGTTGTTCAAGGTAGTGGGCTTAGTTGGGGTAAAGAGATGGAGTCGATACATGGCTATGTTCAGCTACTCATAGTGGTAGCGAGAGGGATAAGTCAGCTGAGGTAATGATGGTATTGCCATGATGGTACTTAGTATGAGTATTGCTCTTCAGATTTCTGTGTCCACTATGGGAGGTGGTGGTCGGACCGCAGTAGTGCGGGCCTCAGCTGATGATACTGGGAATAAGAGTGGAACGTATTCAAATCAAAGCATGCGTAAATTATTTGTCTATAATCTAGCACCGTATACTACATCTGTGACCTTGAGGGTAGTAGGGCTCATCTGGCAGGTCATGGTCATGAGAGTTATAATTTTCAGGAAGTATTTGGGAAGTATGGTCCAATGGACGAATGCATTGTAGTTTATGACTCGGCTGGGAAAAGCAAACGATATGCGTTTGTGACGTATAGTAATGTAGAAGATGCTTGGGCTTGTTTGGAGGTAAGATGTTGCCATAATCAGTAGCCATAAGAATGCGAGGCGTATACAGGAACCGCATAAAACGGTTGATGGTCGAATGACGTTCACGCATCTGGCATCTGAAGGGAGTAGTAGTAATGGTGGAGGTGCTGGTACTAGCGGAACAAGTGAGTTGTTGGATACCCGAGCTGGGGTTCGAACCGAGGGTCTCGTCTGTTCAGGCGGAGATTATGGCAATCGCCGATCACGTAGCAATTTCGCCGGGACCACTCGGCCAACCGTACGAGGTCATTCTCCGACTGCTGGTAGGGGTGGTGGAACTCCCCGGGATGGATCTTTGGGAGGTGGCGAAAGAACTTCCGGAAGCAAAGGGTCGAGAAAAGGGTAGGCTGTTGCCCTAACAATAAATGTCTCGGAATCCTCGATGACGGCCGGGCCGCCGCGGCCCAGGTTCAATTCCGGGCGAGCTCCTTTTCCGTCAGATATTCGTCTGGCCCACCACCGCAGGCCGCGGCCCAGGTGGGCTCAATTCTGAAATCGCAACAACAACAAGAACAGTCGCCTATGATGGTGAGTATCGACAGGGATCCTTCGGAATCTAGAGGACCAGCACGCTCCTATCCAGAGTTGAGATCATATTCTTCAGGATTCGTCTGCGAGGAGGAATGATCAATCGCCGTTGGGCCGTCAGGCTCGCCATCAAATGGTGGACGTCAGTGGAATCCCAAATCAGTCGCAACAAGTAAGCTATCTCTTGGGTACGGGACAGAATGGAATTGAATCATATAGCCGGAACTATAGTGTTGGAATGAATATGACCATCATCATCAGACTATGACTCCTCTGGGAGGGCCATCACAACAACATCAACCAGTATGGTCTCCTGGGCCTGTGGGTAGTGGCACTACTTCTCGCAACAGTGCAAAGCTACCATCACATTACGCTTCTGATTACTATTATTCCGGTGCCGCTCCTGGGACTTGGGGCTCGATATTCTGATTCTATTTCACAAGTATAATAATGACGTCGTTGTTGTTATCATTCCCGCTGATCATCGTGTTGTTGTTGTTTTTCATGTTGTTCATTTTCAACTATCACCACTTGTACCATATTGTCCAGCATATTTCGAGGCTTCCTTAGTAGAAACTTCTATCGTTTATCATCATCGTCATCAAGTAAGTAAGAATGATGATGTGGCTTGGCTGTTGTAAAGGTCTCTTCATTGACTCTACTGAGACAACCATCTTGCTTTTCCTCCTCCTACACGTATAGTAAATATCTGGTAGTGTTGTTGTTATGCCGTATCACCATCATCATGTTCGATTATCGTTTGCAAGAGTCCCTAGCACTGCTAGGCTAGCAGCATTAGGGGATGGCTAGTTCACACATAGTGTTTAGTTCTCTAGTAGGGGTGTATTATCGAAAACCTCGCAATTATCACTCGAATATGATAGAGATCATTGGTGTGATTTCAGGACGTCCCCCGTGGATATCCGTTTGCCACGACATCGTCTACCAACCAGACTTGGGGACCGGGGCCTTCCTTCTCGTCGCCGTCTGTTGGCTCTGGCGCGGATACTCCGTCAACTCACTTCTCCCCAACACAACCGGGATTCACCACATCACCATGGTGTCCACCAATGGTCAATGAGTCATCCGAGTATGCCAGAAGACAGGAAAGTAGGCAAACGTATGGTTCCTACTGTAGCGTCAATATGACAGAATTGTCATTTCAATTGATACAGGGCAAGCACTTCTTAGGTATGAGGAGTCCGCTGCACTCACTTGGATTATCACATGGTTCTCAATACCATCAGGAGGTGTATGCTATGGTAAGGTTACTATTCCCTTTCTTCAAGGTTAGTATTCATCTCAGAGCCCCTTCCCTCCAGTCGCATCACCAGGGCCTGTCGGGCCATCAACATCATCATCTGTCACTCAGCAGGGGAGATACTGCAGTGAGGCCCCAAATACTTGGGGTCCGAGGACCAAGTTCTGATCCAATGCTTCACTTAATGGCCTAAGTTGACAATGATAATGATGACGTTATCGTATATTATTATAATCTTCTAATGAAGCTTCTATCGGAGAACTCATTTTATCTCCTTCATTGCAAATGAGGTTTATGTCCATCTCGTTGCAAACTCATCATGCACGAGAAGTCTGATGTACCTCCTTACAACCATTGCCTGGTCAACGTGATGATACCCACCATGTGTTAGGACATCTTCATCCTAGCCTGTCTGTTCGAGGTCTTCTCCCAATGCAGTATGACAGTATGTAATGTATACTTGGTAAGCTATTTAATGATCTGCCTCATCTCCTACTGTCATCTGGAGGGGTTGGTCAATCATAAGAGGTTGATCTCCTACATATGATGATCTCGTATTCAGTTAACAGTGGCAACTGTTCTTGTTATGAAGAGGTCCATTTACCGCATTGTCAATTAGTATCAGCTCTGTTATTGTTGCTATTGGTTTCGATGGAGTCAGTGATGGTACATTGATTCCGAGTCCTCATCTGAGACTATTGCTTTCACATTATTCATAACCACAAAGTGGTTCATGATTTTATCCTATTATGATACAGTATTGGTGGTGGTAGCTGAGGGTTCAGCTGCTCCTCCATTGCTGTTGACATTTTCCTTGTTGATGCTCTCCAGCTTGGGGCACTCGACGCTGGCAGTAGCAGCAACACGTCGTAGAGGTCCCTCGAAACACGGTGTATGTTGTGTTGTAGTGTTCTGTCTAATCAAAGAATGAACTACTTACTATTCTTCTCATCCTGTCCACAGTTCAGTGAGATCGATTCCATGCGCCAAAAGGAAGGCGTGCCTTTAGTGAGATCGGGCCATCGAAGGGTTCACTTCATGTTGACAAGGGAATGTACACGTAGTCTTCGCATAGCCTACAGTAGAACATTCGTGACAGCCGTAGTGGAATAGAATGTTATCAACTTGGAAGGGACGATATAGTGGTAGAGATCCACCCAATAAGCCGGTATAACCCAAGCTCAATTTTCATTCATGTATACTGATTCGACACGAGTTACATCGAGTGACTTTATCGGCTAATCCTCAACCTATCTATACCTGAGAAGTATGGCATTTCCTGTCTTCGATACAGGAAGTGACACCTCTATACTATATTGAGCGTGTTAACAGTCGAAACTCAGCTTGCTCAACCATCGCTGCAGTAGACATTATCAGTGTATATCTCTCAGTAGTGTTCACTTCCTCGGATATCTATCATTTCTCTATTAAAACCTTTTTTACCTCATATCCGTGCATCCTTCCAATCGTTCACTTTGTCTGTAGCCCTCTTGGCGCCATACAGTTCCAATGGCTTCATCACAGGAAGGAGTAGAAGACATTCCCCCCTCAGGCAGCAACATCGATACTCATACTGATACCGAGGGAGACGAGTGTAAGTCCTGTCGACCTCTTACTATGATGCGTCATTAGGCTGTAACATATCTCAGTGGTTGCCAATCCCGGCGCGCTCTGGTTGCGGCTATCTGACTTCGAGCGGCACATAGCCCGCACTCGGAAAGATATTCTGGTAAGTACACTGTCTACTGTCGTTCGAGGACGACCCTCCGCTCTTTAGAATAGCGGTGAGTCGGTGACCGCAGTTGACCTGAGAGAATGCGTCCATAATGCTAGGGCGGACTGGCCGGCGGCAATGGAGCCCTTCAAAGATGTTGAAGAGTGAGGTACCCACTACTCGAGGTTTTGGTACCTCTGCCGCATTCAGTGCCATCGAACGTCTGTTGCCATATCACGCGTGCTATGAGCCAGGTGCTGATGCGGACGACTCCGCGGCACACCTTGATACCGTGAGCAGCGAATTTGATCCGGGGTTCAGTGATGATGATCCTATGTAGGTAATTGCAAATATCGGCGCACGAGTACTTGCCATTAACAAGCAGACCAAGTTGTGCCGGGAAGCCACAAAACGAGACGCAGCAAAGCGGAAGTTGAATGTTGTGAAGTAATCACTGTTCACTAAACAGAGGAACGACTGATGCGTAATGATATGGGGCTTATGCAGATCCATTGAGTTGGAAGAATTAAGCCACAAGAGTGGACGGCTCCGGCAGGAAAGTAAGTCGATCTCTGGTGAGGGTCGAGCTCATGACGGTGATGGCTTTGTTGACCCTCTACGACTCATGGACACGCTAAGAATGGAATAGTGAGAACGGGAACTGTGTGATTGTCGCCATCGTTCAGTCGACCGAATTGAGAGGGAAGTACAGCTGAAGAGAGCAGCTGCTAAACTGCAAAGTACCGAGATCAAAACACAGGAAACACCATCGCAACCAGCAGTGACCGATGCTGTCGTGAAACCTGAAGGTGAACATAGAGGGCGTTATCTCAACTGACGAGCACGTTCCTCAAGGTATAGAAGATCAAACGGAAAAGATTAAACTTCCAAACAATTGATGAAGCAAGAGTTGAAGAGGCTTTGAGTGTCAGTGTTAATTTAGCGTGGTACTCGGGAGCAGGTTCCCGCTGGATAGCTTACGATACAGGATAGTGGTAGACAATTGCGTTGTGTTATTCTCCCGTACCACCCCCTTTCCACATCTGAACAGGATCACGCGGTCTCCGAGTTAGTTGTGATTGTCGACTGTACTCGAACAGGATCATTTATGTAGTGATTTCCTTTCGTTCGCAAGAGTACTCTTGACAAAACCCTAAACCGTGATGAGGAGATGTATACCCCACCCTAATGGAGGTGTAGTCAGTACAGTCATGCACTCCACTTCGATGATCCATCCCGTATGGGACTGGGGTGTGGGTAGCGCTGAGCGGTTAACTCGAATTTGCTGCATAATTTAACTGTCACATTCATGAAGTTTAACATAATCTGACGGTACGCGTGGTTGGATGTTATCGCATTTTGTGATACTTCGAGTATTACGAAGCAATTCATTGAGACATATAAGTGCAAACTAGGAAGTTTGCGAAGAATCGAATGCTGTCATGAACTATTAAAGAATTCGAAAATATTCCATTCTGTCGTTATCTTTAACATTCTACCTTCAACTTGTCAAGAGGGCTATGCAGTTCTGTTCATGGAGCATGTGTCGGTATAAAGAATTACCCCTATCAGCGGAAAAATGGGCTGTAAACTCTCCCAATGAAGACGTGTCACTATTGGCACACCGCGAGCGGAAAGCTTAGATGCGTTGCGATGAAATATTTAAGATATGTTGCGTATCGATAAACAGTACGTGAGATTTTCCAGATTATACCCTTTTCTGCCGCATACGTGAAAAAGAATGTAACTTACATGTGATAATCAACAAAAAATTCTGAGTCCCATTTCAATTAACCGCTCAGCAATACCCACACCCCAGTCCCATACGGGATGGATCATCGAAGTCGAGTACATGACTGTACTGACTACACCTCCATTAGGGTGGGGTATACATCTCCTCATCACGGTTTAGGGTTTTGTCAAGAGAACTCTTGTGAACGAAAGGAAATCACTACATAAGTGATCCTGTTCGAGTACAGTCGACATGACAGATAGCCTCGGGAGTACCCTCTCCTTTGTGTGATCTCTAGGAGGAGCGGTATGAAAGGTCGTCACAGAAATATGTCCCCAATATCAGCTCATCTTCGTGGAGCTTCGCAGTACGAATTTCGAGATATTTCGGGCACCAATGGCTGTCATTATATTTTGAATTTCAACCTCGCCGTTCGAAAAACTGCCACCGCTGGTTGGCGCTCAGAGCGCTCCATTCCTGAGGCCCTTCTTGTGAACCCATTCCTTCTCTGTACACGTTGAACTGGTATTCCAGCCATAGCCAGGATCCAGTCAACATTAGAGGCAAGTTGTTACTCTCAACAATTATTCGCGCCTAGTGCGCCGTATTAGGGAACGTTATAGAAGTGCTGTATGATGGGGCACACTACTGGCTAGTAGTGCTAGACGACCCAGGTCCTGGAGACCATACTCGCCGGACTAATCACTAGTCACCGGTAAATGGAAAATCTAATTATGAGTAAATAAACAATTGGTTGCCCTTGTGGATTCATCCAGTCAGAAGGCGCAAAAGGCCACTTGCTTATCGGTAGACCATATTCATCGATCTCTGTTCGAGATGTGGAATCCGGAACTTTGAGCTTACTAGATCGTTTATAGTGCGATGTATGAAGGAGGTCCCAATCGACTGAATCGATTTGAGGCGAACGTTTACAAGGACCGAACGTTCTTTGTCATCAGTACGGCTCACCCGCCCGACGGCTTACGAGGCAAAGAATGAGAATAGCTTCGAGTTGGGATGCGGCATCTCCATTACAAAGTATGTCGATCACGCGCACGTCACCGCATTGCGGTATTAGATTCAACGTTGAGTGAGACTCGTCTTGCAGAGCTCTTGTGATGCCATCAGATAGTCGAGGACATATCACCAAGTGGGTTGCTCATTAACTATTGCGGGAGGGCGTCATTTAAGACAGTTCGGCTTCAACATACCCGAACTGGTAGACAGCTGAGTGGCCCAGAACAGGTCCAGCAATCCGAACAATGTCACGTCGTTCGGGATGAAGTTCACTGCATTACCCACATTGGGGCTACTCGTAGTTAACTTTATGTCGCCCTCTGACTCGACGCTGACTCCCTAAAGGCCGGACCGTGCCGGTGGCGTGGCAAGCTCCACACCGGATTGGTCCGGGATGTCTGTCTGAGCCAGGCGATGGAGGCAGGTGGTTGGACACCCCCCGCGGATCCGAGACGTCATGGGAACGCGATCTCTAATGTCGCGACTGGCACGCCCCTGATGTCTTGCCCACACAGGAGGTTGATGATCAACCGTTGATCGCCAAGTGCATTGAGTGCACGGCTCGGGTTGCGGTCAATGCACTCAGGACCCAAGAACCACAAAAAAGCAATGAAAAGAGAGCTTAGCTCCACCCCTCGCTATCTTTAGAGATGGTAGGGGCTCCAGGGACTGAGCACCCCGATGCATGCCGGCCCAGATCTCTCAAATGAATCGGGCCCTCCTCGCGCACCCTCCGGGATGTCGTGACAATGACGTCTATATACTTGTTGTGTTGTGTTGGTGTTTCCTGAGATGATGAAATGAGAAGTACGGCAAGGATGTTTTCATGGTACTGTTGATGGATAAGTCGGATAATGGTTGGGATGGTGGAAGGTCGACCAACAATCAAGACTCAGATTGAAACGGTCCTTAATTACGAGCAATACATGATACAACAATCACGTTCTCCTGCTCTGAGGGTCGACCAACAAGCTTCACTACGAAGAACTGCTCCGATCACATCACTCGTTGCATGTTCTTTTCTAACTCGAGTGAGAAGATACAATTGTGACATTGTGTGCGCTGTCTCATGTTAGACTAGCAGCGAGGGTTTGCATGTAGGTTGCTAAGAGAGAGCCCTTGGGAAACGTGATCCGGTGACTGAGTGAATAGCGAGTCTATGCATTCGGATGATTTGCAGTCTACTTTCCCTTGAGATTATTCCGTTATGCCTCAGTCGTCTGTGAGTCCGGATCGCATCAGAGTACTCAATCAACCCGTAACAGGTCTCACATCTCCTGGACCAGTTATCTATTGGATGAGTCGAGAGATCCGTTCTCGTGACAATTGGGCGCTAATCCATGCACAGAATGTGGCCCTTCGGAGTAAACGACCTCTCTTAGTTGTTTACAACCTGGCAGTTGGTTATCTTGGCGGAGGCTTGCGACAGCACGCCTTCAAAGTCGGTGGTTTGAAGGTCGTAGCTGCAAATTTGAGTCAACTCAACATCCCTTTTGCGATCGAAGCTTCTCCCAAGTTCCCGGCCTTCCTCGCTGACATCACTGAAAGAGTCGGTTGCAAATACGTTGTTACGGACTTCACTCCTCTTCGTTTGAACAAGGAGTGGGTTGCCGCCTTTACGAAGCATGCCAAGCGCCTTGACATTCGTTTCGAGCTAGTTGATGCTCACAATGTTGTTCCCTGTTGGGTCACTTCGGATAAGATGGAACGCGCTGCTGTGACAATAAGGCCGAAATTATGGCATCATTTTGATGAGTTCTGCACGAAGTATCCGAGGCTCAAGAGACATCCATATACTATTAGTGATGATGTTCACTTCCACACAGTTACGACATCAGAGATTGATGCATTGTTGACGAATGAGGAGATTGTCGGGAAGCTCGACGAAGCAGTGAAGCCCATCGACTGGCTAACACCTGGGGAGGATGCCGGTCTTCAACTCGCGCTGGGGTATGTGAAACACATGCCCAATTACTCTACCCAGCGGAACAACCCGACTAATCCTATCCAGTCTGATTTAAGTCCATACTTCCACTACGGCTTTGTGAGCCCGCAGAGGGTCATCTATGATGCTTACAACAGTACGGACATCAACGAGGAGGATCGCGACGAGTTTATTGAGCAGTGTATGATCCGGAGAGAGCTCGCCGACAACTTCTGCTACTACAACGATAACTACGATAAGTTTGAAGGATTCCCAGATTGGGGACAGCACACTCTTCGTGAGCATGCTAAGGATGACAGGGAGTATCTTTACTCACTAGAACAATTGGAGAAGGCCGACACACATGACAGACTGTGGAATGCTACTCAACGCCAAATGGTTGAGACGGGTAAGATACATGGTTATATGCGTATGTATTGGTGTAAGAAGATTCTCGAGTGGACGAGAAGCCCAGAGGAAGCTCTCGAATTCTCAATATACCTCAATGACAAATACGAGTTGGATGGTCGAGACCCCAATGGATATGTGGGTATCGCTTGGTGCATTGGTGGCCGTCATGATCGTCCATTCGGCGAACGGAATGTATATGGGGTTGTTCGATATATGAGCTATAATGGTTGCCGAGGGAAGTTCGATATCAACAAATATATGAAAATGGCAGGCTCGGTCGAAGGTCACAGAGCCGGCAAAATGTGGTCAGCGACTGCTCAGAAGTCTGTCGTGGAGGAGGAAGGATTCTGGGAGAGCCTGAGTGAAGAGGAAAGACGGTTAAAAGGCCGCTGATTATTTCAACTCGTTGTGCCTATAGTTTTTCAATGTCTCGTGTCAGAATTTGTTGTTGCGTTCTAAGTGTCTCTCAACTCAATTTGGGGAGGGGAGAGGGAGGAGTGAGTATGAAGTCCAACGCTGACAACACGGCATATTAAGACTAGCATTGATGTATATTAGCTCGGGAGGGATCATTCTGATCCATTGAATTGTTCCGTTTATCACGCGATCATTCCGGGTGAATGTTCATCATGTACGAGGAATGTTGTTTACTGAGCGAGATCATTCTCCACCAGGATACCTCGTTTCCTCCCGGCAGGATTCACTTTTACAATTTCGGGGGCTATGGACGTCCACGGAACACATGAATTTCCCACAATATGTCAATCACAAGCATCATTTCGAAACTCGATGTCCTGGACTAAATTAAAGTGAGAGCATTCCGGGGTCCAAGTCCAAGGTCAGAAATACCGGTTTCTTATCCGAGGCACACTCTTCCGGACAAGGGCAGGTTAAAGTAACATTCCTTGGAAAGTGGTCCTTTCCGGTCCCAGTTTCCAAGGCGATCCTGCGGGTCTTCTTTCCTCTGTTAAACTATTCCTTCCTTGTTAAATAATGTCCGACACGTGGAACGGTTCCACTGGAACCCCCACCCCACGTAGAATCACACAAGTGCGCGACGCAATACAGAGCAGCGATACACGGGAACTTGACGATAACGATCATCGGATAACCTATTATCGGAATCTTACGATTATGATACTGAACGTAAGACTAAGTTCTACGAGTTGTCTTGCGCCAAACTCTTGCATGACCTACAGCGCTCTAGCTGATCGGATACGGACGATAATAAGACCGTAGATGATCGCCATTAGAATGTCATTATACTGTGCGGAATCTTGCTGCGGAAGTGCGAGGTTGTTTCCGTTGAGTGAGAAAGTGCGTGGGCTATACTCGATGCTGTGGATCGCTTGTGGGAGCGTGGGGGTCGCATTTCGCAGTCACGCGAGACGTGGAAGAATGTCCCATACTTGGAACGTGGAATTCAGGCACTTGAATACGTATCGCTAAGCAACGGATTTGTGATTCGTTTGGGATTGGAAATGACAAATATCAGCCGTCAAGCTTTCGGGAGGTTTTGCAGAATTTCGCCGAATATCGCACAACAACATTACTCGAGTTAATAGGGAACTCTTATGGTAGCAGTTCTTCTTATAGTATCATTCATGAGCTCTAATCCTGACCATGCGTTATGATAGTGTTGCACATCTAGTGTGGAGGCAGTGGGAGTCACCATCATTACCTATGATATAGAGATTAAGCATCCCTAGCAAAGTTCCGAAATAACCGTTCAGCACTACCCACACCCCAGTCCCATAGGGGATGGATCATCGAAGTCGAGTACATAACTGTACTGACTACACCTCCATTAGGGTGGGGTATACATCTCCTCATCACGGTTTGAAGTTTTGTCAAGAGTACTCTTGTGAATGAAAGGAAATCACTACATAAATGATCCTGTTCGAGTACAGTCGACAAGTACTATAGGCTCGGGAGCACCCCCTACCCAGCACGATCTATAAAGAGAGCGGTAAGGACGTCGGTCACAAAATGTGTCTCTGCTTGTGATTATTTTATCCAAAGCCTTGCAATGCAGATTATATCCTCGATTCGTCTTTCTCATGGTTCGGAGCTCTTCAAACTGAGAGGACTCCATCGACTCAGAATTTACGTCCTCCAAGGCACGATCCCGGCCATTCAATTGATCTAATACCAAACCAATGAATAGAACACGTGATGTGAATTCAATACCGTGCAGTGCGACATCGAGGTCTCCCGAGCAGTTGAGAGGGAGGAGAGCATTGCGATGAAGGCACGCAAGTGCGGTAGAGGCTCTACTGTAGAGCATCTTACGTTGCCTACACCCGACTTATCGAGGCCACAAGTCAGATCGAACTTCTGCTATTCGTGCCACGTCATTGGAGTATTCGACTGCGAATAAACTTTGTTTAACAAAGGAGGCGACGAATTTCCGAAGGGCTATCAGCTCATGCTTCTCCTTCGCGTGGAGCTCATTGACGGTTTTTATTGTAGGTCACCTTCAAATGATGCCGCATCGTCACCGGCACGTGAAGCTCTGGGCCGAAATGAAACGATGCGCTTGAACGTGCAGCTGAGGCGAAGCCCAGTGGTTAGCGTCTGAATTGTTATTCGAGTGTAGTGTAGCATGTGACATGTTGTTGGCATGCCAGCGCTTACCTCCTCCGTTGTCCTCCACTTCTTCGCACGAAGCCAATACGGTCATCGCTTGTACTAAAAGTCATGGCGAAGTCTCGAAACTACCAATGACATATCCATCAAACCCAAACCTCTTCGGAAAGGATGCTAAGATCTCATCACAGGTACTTGGCCAATACTGACTCACTTGAACAGCCAACTCCATTGCGATAAGCGCTCAATCTGCATTAGGAGTAGTCATTTTCTGTCTCTCACTGAGAGACTCTCAAATTGATGATGACGCCGGTTGCTCCATCACATTGAAACCATCATCACTCACCTGGTACATTCCATCACGATCACAATCGGACACCGCGTGCCCGTCATGTTGGCTATTGTCATAAAAATAATCATTCTCAGCACCACCATGATAGAGGCCGTCATCCTCGCCATAATTTGAGGAATTGTGAGATCCCACCTGCTGCAGTGGTTTGTATCACAAAGCCATCAATGCATCACAGTAGGAAGGTACTGTATAGAGTCCAGGTTCAAACCCAGTTACACCGTATATAGAATTACGAATCAGAAGAATACACCACCTGAGCATGAGATACGTTACTTATTTCACCGGACTGAGATACCTCGTCAGATGCAGCTCTGAGCAACACAAGACGGCCGCCACCCCTGCCGACTACCACTCGATAATCTATCGGTTTGGACAGACGGTATTTCAACTCCTGGGGCGTGTAAACGAAAAAGCATTGCCCTTTGCGGGAGAATTCACAATTAGGACCATAACGGCAGAACCTACCCGTGTGAAAGCCCAGACTAGTATGAGAATCGCTACTCGACTTAGTTCTTAGGAGCCTTTTGTGGCGCTCCACTGGAGAATTGTCATGACTAATTCCCAGAGGGATGTTTCGAACACTCCACTGTTGCTTTAACCTGGCCGGGCTGAGATGATTTAGGCCATATAGATTCTCACATGCGTTTTCATTATCAAGGAATGAGCTCACCTTCGGCCTGCTATAGATGCATTTGATGCAACCTCTAACCCTGTGCTCCCCTCTTCAGAGACTCCTATGATGCATAGGATTCTCAAATCGTATGCAGAACCGGGGGATGCGACACGAAACATGGAAATCGATCAACATCACTTCAACAACCCGCTTTATTGACACCACCGACCATAGGACTTCTCTGGATGGATCAGGTGCGAAGTGAATGCCTCCGATGATGTAGCGCACAGCGAGCCAAGCTCTGTCGTAGCAAGTGAACTGTTTACATATGATCAATGACGGAACGACCAATCATACCAAGACATATAGATGAGTGCGATGGATTGGCACTCAGCATAGTGGCACACCTCAGGGCATGTCGGGCGAATTACGTCGAGACCGAATCTATTCTTTCGGTGTATCACACACGAGTGCCCTCACCATCGACATATACTATATCTACGACTCAT